TTTTTTTGAGACAGAGTTTCACTCTTATTGCCCAGTCTGGAGGGCAATGGCACAATCTCGGCTCACTGGAACCTCTGCCTCCTGGGTTTAAGTGGTTCTCCTGCCTCAGCCTCCTGAGTAGCTGGAATTACAGGTGTGCACCACCACACCCAGCTAATTTTTGTATTATTAATAGAGACAGGATTTCACCATGTTGGCCAGGCTGGTCTCCAACCCCTGACCTCAGGCAATCCATCTATCTTGGCCTCCCAAAGTGCTAGGATTACAGAAGTGAATCACCATGATGACTGGCATTTTTTTTTTTTTTTGAGAGGGAGTCTCGCTCTGTCACCAGGCTGAAGTGCAGTGGTGTGATCTCAGCTCACTGCAACTTCTGCCTCCCAGGTTCAAGCAATTCTCCTGCCTCAGTGACTACCTTGGTAGAGTTAGAATCAGTGCAGGTAAAGTACTTAGGAAATTGCATGGCACATAGTAGGTACAGATATGGAGTTATTATTCAGTAGTTGCTGGAAGAGAAATGATGTGACAGAAAAATGAGAAGGAACTGAAGGAAAGAAAGACTGCAGGTGAGTGTGGAGGAGATAAGACAGGAGGGAGAACATCAAGATCAATACATTAAAAAAAAACTTGTCTGTCTCTCTTTTTTAATTTTTTTTGAGACAAGATCTCGCTCTGTCACCCAGGCTGTAGTGCAGTGGTATGGTCACAGCTCACTGCAGCCTTGACCTCCTGGCTCAAGCAGTCCTCCCAAGTAGCTGGAACTACAGGTGTGTGCCACTATGCCCAGATAAGTTTTGTATTTTTTGTAGAGGCAGGGTCTCCCCATGTTGTCCAGGCTGGTCTCAAATTCCTGGGCTCAAGTGATCCTCCCACCTCAGCCTCTGAAAGTGCTGGGATTACAGGCATAAGTCATTATGCTTGGCCAAACTTTTATGTCTTTACTGATGCGAAAATATAACTGGCTAACCAATGTGGAAAAAGGGTCCACCTTATAAGTAATCCTATAAATGCAAATAAAAATAATAAGTTACTATCTAATAATTTACCGAAAAACTTTAAAATTGATAGCACTCATTGCTGGTTTAAAGGAGTACACTCTAATCCGCTATGGGAGGGCACTATGGTATACTCTTTGGGGAAAGCAACACTGCAATATGTATGCTTCATAATCTTTGGTCCAGAAGTTTCACCTGTAAGGGCCTATATGCAACTGTAGGGACCTAAGCTTTCTTTGGGTGAAATGCGAGTCCTGGTAGATTTTGACAGAGATGATCTGACTTTTTCATCACCTAACAATGTATTTTTGTGAATACACTGTTGTGAGTTGTGAATGATAAGAGGTGCCCCCGAGAAGAAGTCAGGAAAGGTGTCCTGGACCAAGTGTGTGCAGGGAACTGTCAAAGGCTCAGTGTTTTGGTACTGCTAAGAGTGAGCCAGGGAGGAGCCAGTGACAGTGCGGGAGAAGCAATCAAGTCCAATTATGGAGGGCCTAGAGTGTGTGCTGTGGAGTTTATATTTGACTTCACAGAATCTGGTAGAAATTGGTGGAAGGGCTCTAAGAAGGGGACTGACTTGGCCAGATGGAGATTGGCCACAGGGCAGTGCTGTGGAGGCAGATTTGAAGATGAGGCTGTCAGCACCTTCCTCCCTTCCAAAAGACCCTGATTTTGGTGGCCATCCTTGGAAAGGCCTAGTGATTAGGGACAGCTGGGCTCTTCCCCAGCATCAGAAGGTGAAGCTTGATTAGTTTAAGAAGCCAATCAGTAATTTCATTGCCTTTGGCAAGTTTAGGATTTCCGAATAGGATGCTGCATAGTTCTCCCCAAAGACATCAAATGAGAAGTTGGCTGAGAGGCTTCTAATAAATTTTTCCTCAGTTTCTTTTCTGTTTTTTTTTTTTTTTGAGATAGAGTTTTGCCCTTTCGCCCAGGCTGGAGTGTATTGGCGATCTTGGTTCACCACAACCTCCGCCTCCCAGGTTCAAGCAGTTCTCATGCCTCAGCCTCCCGAGTAGCTCGGATTACAGGCGTGTGCCACTACGCCCAGCTAACTTTTGTATTTTTAGTAGAGATGGGGTTTCACCATGTTGGCCAGGATGGTCTCGTTCTCTTGACTTCATGATCTGCCCGCCTTGGCTTCCCAAAGTGCTGGGATTACAGGCGTCAGCCACCGCACCTGGCCTAAATTTTTCTTCACTTTCAAAAAGACATGCAAGACCAGGCACGGTGGCTCATGCAGGTAATCACAGCACTTCAAAGGCAAAGGCAGGAGGATCGCTTGAGACCAGTTCAAGACCAGCCTGGGGGCCGGCCGGGTGTGGTGGCTCAGGCCTGTAATCCTAGCTCTTTGGAAGGCTGACGTGGGTAGACCAGGTCAGGAGGTCGGGACCAGCGTGACCAACGTGGTGAAACCCAGTCTCTACTAAGAATACAAAAATTAGCCAGGTGTGGTGTGAGGAGGTTAGAGTGAGCTGAGATCGCGCCAATGCACTCCAGCCTGGGCGACAGAGCAAGACTCTGTCTTGGGGGAAAAAAAAAAAGACCAGCCTGGGCAACACAGTGGGACTGAGTCTCTACAAAAAACAAAAAAACAAAAAAATTAGCTGTGCGTGGTGTTGTGTGCCTGTAGTCCCAGATACTATGGAGAAAGAGGCAAGAGGGCTGTGTGAGCCTAGAAGTTTGAGGCTGCAGTGAGCTGTGATTGTGCCACTGCACTCCAGCCTGGGTAAAAGAGTGAGACCCTGTCTCTATAAAACAAAACAAAACAAAAACAAAAATACATGCAAGACAAGAATGACTTCTTTTTCCTGCCACTGCAGCAGCCCCCTTGGGATAAGCCTGAGGACAAAAGTCCAACATGTTGAAGACAGCAGAGGAGAAAGAAAGAAACTGGGTCCTTGCTAATGTCCTTGGGCTGCTGAATTAACTGAATTAACCAGACTTCTGGTTACAGAGAATAACAAATCAATCTTCCTTCCTCCCTCCTTCCTTTCCTTTCTTTCTCTTTCATGTGGCTAAGAGCATTCTATTATTTTATTTACTTATTTATTTTATTATTGTTATTTTTTTTTTTGATGGAATTTCGTTCCTGTTGCCCAGGCTGGAGTGCAATGGCGTGATTCTGGCTCACTACAACCTCCACCTCCCGGGTTCAAGCGATTCTCCTGCCTCAGCCTCCCACATAGCTGGGATTACAGGCATGCACCACCACACCCAGCTAATTTTGTATTTTTAGTAGAGTTGGAGTTCTCCATGTTGGTCAGACTGGTCTGGAACTCCCAACCTCAGGTGATCCGCCTGCCTTGGCCTTCCAAAGTACTGGGATTACAGGCTTGAGCCACCATGCCCGGCCTATTTATTTATTTTTTTGAGATGGAGTCTTTCTCTGATACCCAGGCTGGAGTGCAGTGGCACAATCTCTGCTCACTGCAACCTCTGCCACCTGGGTTTAAGTGACTCTCCTGCCTCAGCCTCTCAGGTAGCTGGGATTACAGGCACACGCCACCATCCTGACCAAATTTTGTATTTTTACCTTGTCTCTACTAAGAGACGAGGTTTTGCCATGTTGGCCAGGCTGGTCTCAAACTCCTGACCTCAGGTGATCAACCCACCTCGGCCTCCCAAAATGCTGGGGTTACAGGTATGAGCCACCATGCCTGGCCTTATTTTTTAATTTTTTTTTTTTCGAGACGAAGTCTCCCTCTGTCACCCAAACTGGAGTGCAATGGCACTATCTCGGCTCACTATAACCTCCACCTCTCAGGATCAAGTGATTCCCCTGCCTCAGCTTCCCAAGTAGCTGGGATTACAGGCGTGTGCCACCACAACTGGCTAATTTTTGTATTTTTAGTAGAGACGGTTTCACCATGTTGGTCAGGCTGGTCTTGAACTCCTGATCTCATGATCTGCCTGCCTTGGCCTCCCAAAGTGCTGGGATTACAGGCATGAGGCACTGTGCCCGGCCTTATTTTTTAATTTTTAAGAAAAAGCGATGGGGTTTTGCCATGTTTCCCAGGCTGGTCTTGAATTCCTGGGCTCAGTCAAGCCTCCCACCTCGGTCTCCCAAAGTGCTAGGATTACAAGTATGAGCCACCATGCCTGATCTGAAGGTATTCTAAATGACAATCAGGAGTATATTGCTAGAGATGGAACAAGGCCTCAACTAGAGCAGTGACCACAAAGTAGAAAGGATGGGTCTGTTACGAGAGAGCTAAACAAGGATTTACTAGTTTAGTAACCAATTGGACGAGCAAGAACTGAGGCTAAAACCTAAGGTTTTAGCTTTAGGTATTTAAGTGATGGTGGTTCTACCAACTCATATAATGCCATCCCTGTCTTCTGCATAGAATTGCAGCTCTTATTGCCCTGGCTGGAGTGCAATGGCACGATCTTGACTCATTGCAACCTCCGCCTCCCGGGTTCAAGCGATTCTCCTGCCTCAGCCTCCGGAGTAGCTGGGGCTATACGCATGAACAACCACACTTGGCTAATTTTCATATTTTTAGTAGAGATGGAGTTTCACCAGGTTAGCCAGACTGGACTCGAACTCCTGACCTCAGGTGATCCACCTACTTCGGCCTCCCAAAGTGCTGGGATTATAGGTTTGAACCACTGCAACCTATCTGCTTACTCTTTTTCTTCGAGATTGGGTCTCATGGTAAGACTCCATCTCTCTGAAAAAAAAGATCACTGCTTTTACCTCATCCCCAGCCAATATAGGACAGAGCGATATTCTGAAATAAAGGAAAAAAGCCTAGGAATTGGCTACCATCCTGTTATAACACCCTCCCTCAAACAACAGCAAAAACCTGCTGGGATCTAACCTTTCCTATGCGGGAGTGTAGTAGAGGACAAGGAAACGTGGAGGTTCAAGCAGTGTTTAGATGGGGCAGATGTGGGGATGGAGAGGGAGGAGGGGAAGGGAGACTGCCTCTGTTGTGGCAGGAAATCCAAGAGTCATTTGAGACCACCCAGGCAGCAATGGTGTGGGTGGGGGTATGTGTATGTGCGTGTATGCACATGTGTGTCCTGGGGCTGAGGGCAGACAGGCAGACAGAGCAAAACATCTGCTCTGGACCCCAGGGCTGGCTGAAAGTGTGTATGGATGTGAGAGTCTGCAGGGCTGGGGGTAGGTAGGGTGGGGACATGTGGGAGCCCAGGAGGCAGGCAAGCTCTGGGAAACATCTGCTCTGGATCCTAGGACTTGCCAGTATTTGGAATAACTCAAGGGTGTGAGACTCCAACCTGGGCTCTGCCGTTGGGTATGGGCCAGGGCTGAGGGAGCCTACAAAATGCAAATTTCCCAGGGAAAACTAGACTGGAGTTTGACTTCTGTTAAGGGCTGCCATATGAAACCAGGCCTCAGGAAAGGAGAGAGTCATACTGAAATTATTAAGAAGAAATCATTCTGGCTGGGTGCAGTGGCTCACGCCTGTAATCAGCACTTTGGGATGCTGAAGTGGGCAGATTACTTGAGGCCAGGAGTTCGAAACCAGCTTGGCCAACATGGCGAAACCCTGTCTCTACTAAAAATACAAAAATTAGGCTGGGCATGGTGGCTCACACCTGTAATCCCAGCACTTTGGGAGGCCTAGGTGGGCAGATCACAAGGTCAGGAGTTTGAGACCAGCCTGGCTAACATGGTGAAACCCCATCTCTACCAAAAATACAAAAATTAGCCGGCGTGGGGGCGGGTGGCTGTAATCCCAGTTATTTGGGAGGCTGAGGCAGAAGAATTACTTGAACCCAGGAATTGAAGGTTGCAGTGATCCAAGATTGTGCCACTGCACTCCAGCCTGGGTAACAGAGCAAGACTCCACCTCAAAAAAAAAAAAAGAAAAGAATTCTTTCATGCTTCTGGATTTGATCCCACCTGACCCTGGCTGTTGTCTCAAATTGTGAATTCTGTCATGCTTTTTCATTAATTGGGCCCGGGTGTATGAACCCTCTCCCTGGAGGCTTGGCCAGATGATTTACTCAGTTTCCTCAGCCTTCTAGTTCTAACTCTTCTGATTCTCCTGGTCAGAAGTGATTTCTCCCTGCCTTCTTTTATACAACATAATCACCGGGTGCTCTATATTGTATTTTAGTTATTCCAGCACATATTTTACTTTCCTTGCTACTGAAAGATGAGCCTTGTTTTAGCTGCCTTTGTAAACTCTGATGCATTTCTATGTTAACACATAGAAAGTTACCAATAAATGCTAAATACACACATACAAAATAATAGACAAATATTCTATACACCCAATTCACAGGGTCTGCAGACAGCCATTTATGGGTGTGGGAGGGAGCAGTGCTCCTTGATGCCCAGATGTATAGACTCTGACCAGCAGGTGCCCCTCCAGTCCCAGGGCCAGGCTCAGTAGCCAGCTCCTCACCCCATTCTTGCTTTGGGCTCACCGTACCTGAGCCGCTATGGCCAGTGTCCACAACTCACCTTCTACCCAGAGCTGTTCCAGGTTGGTCTCAATAATAGCCACGCGAAGACCTAATGCCAGGGCCCCAAAGGCCAACAGTCCCAGAAAGAGCACTTTGCCACAGTGTCTCTGGATCCCGAAGCCCAGAGAGAAGAGCAGGCCCTGGAAGTAAGCACGAAGCCAGAGTGGAGCCCTCAGGCTCCCAGCTAGGATCTGGGATAGAAAGAGAAGGGTCAGCCAGGCATCACTGCAACAATGCATGAAATCCTTCCCTTCTCACCCTGTATAACCGCTGCCAAGCCCTAGCTTCTAGATTTCCAGATGTGGGACAGGGAGCACCAACACAGACACAGGTCCAAACTTGGAAGATGTTAACACCCGCCATCCCCAGCTCCCTCCCTCCATCCCTCCCTCCCTTCCTCCCTCTCTTCCTTCCTTCCTTCTTTCCTTCCTCCCTCCCTTTTTTCTCTTTCTTTTCTTTCTTTCTTCCTTTCTCTCTTTCTTTCTTCCTTTCTTTCTTTCTCCCTTCCTTCCTTCTCTCTCTCTTTCTCTTTATTTTTTTGAGATGGAGTCTCTGTCTGTCGCCAAGGCTGCAGTGCAGTGGCACAATCTCGGTTGATTGCAACCTCTGCTGACTGCAACCTCTGCCTCCCACCTCAGCCTCCCAAGTAGCTGGGACTGCAGGCTTGTGCCACCATGCCCGGCTAATTTTTATTTTTGGTAGAGACGGTGTTTCACCACGTTGGCCAGGCTGATCTCAAACTCCTGACCTCAGGTGATCCGTCCACCTCAGCCTTCCAAAGTGCTGGGATTACAGGCGTGAGCCACTGGGCCCAGCCCGCATAGGCCCATTTTCTGAGAGCAGGATACATATGTACACACACACACACACACACACACACACCCCTGTCGTTGGGTGGACACAGAGGTGAACCCACCGACACTCATTCTCACTGGCCAGATGACGAGAAGAGGCACAGACACGCAGACACACAGACACACACGCACAACTTACTTGCCGTGTTAGCGCTCACTTGCCTTCAGACAACCAATGACACACAGCACGTCAAGACATCACAAACCCTGAAGAGGCCCGAGTGACAGACCTGGCCCTGCTCTTCCTTCTTCCAGCTCCCCTTCTACTCACCTGAGGTGCTGCGGCTCGAGCTGGGGGTGTGTAACTCGGAGGCAGCTCTCTGAGGGCCGGCGACCGAGTCATGCTGGCTGGGATGGGGGCGTGGGCGCCCCCAACCCGCATTATCTGGGAACTCCCATAGGCTAGCCCGGCCTCCCGGTACCGCTGGTCCCCGCGTGGGGATTCAGTGGGGCAGCCAAGGCGCGGACGGGGGTGAGACTGTGGGGTGCGGGTGTTAACGGCGGCTGGGAAGCAGGAGTGCAGGACGCTGCGGGTCCGGGGCGCGGCGCCGGGGTTCACCCGCTCAGTGGGCCGCGGCGGCTGGAAGAGGAGTGGGTCCCGCGCGCAGGCGAAATTGCTGGCTGGAGACGCCCAGCAGGGCTGGAGGTGCTGACTGGAGTGCCCGGGAGGCGGCTGGAGCTCCAGAAAAAGGGAGCTGGCCCGGGCGACGCCCTCCCATTGGCTGAGGGGCCCGCAAATTACCCGAGCCGCGCGGCCCGACCCGCTGCTAGGTAACGGCGCCGCAGGGGGCGGGGCACGAGACCACCCACGCTGGGCCACCCCGCGCCTCCCCCCCGCCTGCGAGGCCCCGGGGAGGAGGAGGGAGGAGGATCCCGGAGAGGCGCAACGGCGGCCAAGTGTAAGTTCAGATAGGCTGACGCTGAGAAAGGCCGTTTGCGGGCCCTGTTAGGGCTGCACTTTTTTTTTTTTTTTTGAGAAGGAGTCTCGCTCTGTCACGCAGGCTGGAGTGCAGTGGCGCGATCTCGGCTCACTGCAACCTCTGCCTCCTGGATTCAAGCGATTCTCTGCTTCAGCCGCCCGAGTAGCTGGGATTACAGACGCCTGCCACCACGCCCAGCTAATGTTTTGCATTTTTAGTAGGGACAGGGATTTCACCATCTTGGCCAGTCTGGTTTTGAACTCCTGACCTCGTGATCCACCCGCCTTGGCCTCCCAAAGTGCTGGGATTACAGGCTTGAGCCACCGCGCCAAGCCTTTTATGTTTTTTAAGATGGGGTCTCACTCTGTCACCCAGGTTGGAGTGCAGTGGCGCCATCTCGGCTTGCAGCCTCCGCCTTCCAGGCTCACGCCATCTTCCCACCTCAGCCTCCCGAATAGCTGGGACCATAGGCATGCATCACCACGGCCAGCTATTTTTTTTTTTTGTATTTTTGGTAGAGACTGGGTTTCGCCATGTTGCCCAGGCTGGTCTCGGACTCCCAAGCTCAGGCAGTCCGCCCGCCTCAGCCTTCCAAAGTGTTGGGGTACCAGGCGTGAGCCATCGCGCCCGGCCTAGGGCCACACTTTTTTTTTTTTTTCCAGGATTAATTCTCTTTATTTTTCTTGTATAGAAACCCTATGCCGCCGGGCGCGGTGGCTCACGCCTGTAATCCCTGCAGTTTGGGAGGCCGAGGCGGGCGGTTCACGAGAACAGGAGTTCAACACCAGCCTGGCCAAGATGGTGAAACCCCGTCTCTACTAAAAATGCAAAAAAATTGGCTGGGCGTGGTGGCAAGAGCGTGTAGTCTCAGCTACTTGGGAGGCTGAGGCAGAAGAATCACCTGAACTCAGGAGGCGGAACTTGCAGTAAGCAGATATTGTGCCACTGCACTCCAGCCTGGGCAACAGAGTGAGCCTCCATTTCAAAAACAAAACAAAACAAAAACCCTAGCCACAACTGGAGCCTGGGTCCTCTGCACGAAGACTCTGGTGTGGGTCTTGAAGAGGTCATTAGTGAATTCCTGACAAGTCTCCTTCCAGAAGTCCAGGGGTCAGGTAGCTGTAGGTCTTCAAGAGGGCATCAAAGCGGGTAGGGCCACAATTTCTTTACGACCCAAAGCCCAAGATTTCTTCTGTTCACTCTTCCTGGCCTCCATTCTTGCCCTCTTCAGTCCACACTCTCCACTGAGACCAGAGTCATCTCTCTAACATACAAATCTGATAGCCCCAAAGCACAAGGCCACTGGGAGCACAGGGTCCCATGTGATCTAGCTAAAGCCTCATCTCCCATGGTTCCCTCACATCAGTGTTCCCTCCATAGCCATGTGTTCCTGCCTTTGTACATGTTGTGGCCATTCTGTCTTGGCAGACAATCTTCAAACACTGAACTTGAGTCACTCCCCCACCCCACTTTTTTTTTTTTTTTTTTTTTTTGAGGTAGGATCTGCCTCTGTCACCCAGGTTGGAGTGGAATGGTGCCATCACAGCTCACTGCAGCCTTGACCTCCCAGTCTCAAGAGATCCTCCCACCTCGGCCTCCCAAATGGCTGGGACTACAGGTGTGCACCACCACACCTGGCTAATTTTTGTAATTTTGTATAGATGGGGTTTTGCCATGTTGCCCAGGTTGTTCTCGAACTCCTGGGCTCAGGTGATCTGCCCCCCTGGGGCTTCCAAAGTGCTGGAATTACAGGCATGAGCCACTTTACCCAGCCTACCTCCTTTTTGAAACCTTCCTTGATTCATGTCTCTTTCCTGACAGATAATTGCTTCTTTATTTGTGCTTTGTATAACAACTCAATTTATATATGTATAATTGCATTTATGATACAATAACTTATGTACTTAAAAATCTGCCTTCCTCACCAGACAATAAATAGGTGCCCAATAATTGTTGAGTGAGTCACTAAGAGTTGCAGAACTCAGGGTGTAATGGATTGGAAACAGGAAAGAATAGAGGCAATAGTCCCTCTATTAAACTTTCAACTATCGTATCTGAGTGGGCTGTTTCTATTGGGTTCCTGACTGATAAATCCTCAGTGGCAGAGTAGGGTAAAATCAATATTCCAATATGTAAAGTTTGGGAAAGAGAAAAAGAATCCACAATGAGCTCATGATTCTAACACAACTACTATTATCTCTGGCCAATTTCTTGGTCAATTCTTCCAGACTTTAAAAAAAAATCATTACATCATAAATATTTCATGTTACTACATAGATTTTGTGATCAATCATTTGGAGAATATCCTTAGGACAGATTCCCAGAAGTGGGGTTGTTTGGGTGAAAGAGTATGAACACTTTTATGGTTCTTGCTATACACTGTTAAACTAATCTTTGAAACTTGTGCAAATTTTTTCTTTTTTTAGACGGAGTCTCTGTCACCCAGACTGGAGTGGAGTGGCGCAGTCTCAGCTCACTGCAACCTCTGCCTCCTGGGTTCAAGCAATCTCTGCCTCAGCCTCTCAAGTAGCTGAGATTGCAGGTACCCACCACCACACCTGGCTAATTTTTTTTTGTATTTTTAGTAGAGATGGGGTTTCACTAGCTTGGCCAGGTTGGTCTTGAACTCTGAGCTCGGGCAATCTGCCTGCCCTGGCCTCCCAAAGTACTAGGGTTACAGGTATGAACCACTGTGCCTGGCCTTAGGATCTTTTTTTTATTTTTTTTAATTTATTTTATATAATTTTTTTTTTTTTTGAGACAGAGTTTCGCTCTTGTTACCCAGGCTGGAGTGCAATGGTGCAATCTTGGCTCACCGCAACCTCTGCCTCCTGGGTTCAGGCAATTCCCCTGCCTCAGCCTCCCGAGTAGGTGGGATTACAGGTACACGCCACCATGCCCAGCTAATTTTTTTTTGTATTTTTAGTAGAGACGGGGTTTCACCATGTTGACCCCAGGATGGTCTCGATCTCTTGACCTCGTGATCCACCTGCCTCGGCCTCCCAAAGTGCTGGGATTACAGGCGTGAGCCACCGTGCCCGGCCCAGGATCTTTTTTTTTTTTTTAATTATTATTTATTTTTCTTCAAGATGATGGAGTCTTGATCTGTCACCCAGTCTGGAGTACAGTGGCGCCATCTTGGCTCACTGCAACCTGTTTCCCGGGGTCAAGCAATTCTCCTGCCCCGGCCTCCTGAGTAGCTGGGATTATAGGTGCCCACCACCACGCCTGGCTAATTTTTCTATTTTTAGTAGAGGCGGGGTTTCACCATGTTGGCCAGGCTGGTCTCGAACTCCTGACTTCGTGATCTGCCTGCCATGGCCTCCCAAAGTGCTGGGATTACAGGTGTGAGCCACCACTAACCCTGGCCGCTTAGGATCTCTTATCTGTCCACTCTTTTGCTGAGTTTTGGTGTTGCAGGGTACCTACCTGCTTTTTAGAAGTTCATTGCCTGAAGGGAGCACAGAGACCACACCGGAAACCACTGTGAGTTGGGGATACTCAGGGATGCTTTTAGAAGTGAAAGGAACTGGATGGGAGAGGTGGGAGGATGACAGAATCTAAAAGGAAAAGGAATGAATGGCTCATGGCTTGGATCTTTCATTTGCTGGTTGTGAGATCTTGGGGAAGTCACATAATCTCTGAAATTTGCATAAGGATTAAATGAGATAATATATACAAACTGAGGAACAGTGCCAGGAAAAGTGAAGTGGATCACACTCACATACACACAGTGCTGGGAAAAGTGACCAGTCTGGCTTCAGGGGTGGGTTCATTCATGGTGGAGGCAAGGCAGGCTTGCTTTCTCTGGCAGTCCTCTAGGTTTCCCTCACCAGCTTTGGCTGCTTCTGTTATCTAGGCCAAGCAGGGTCAAAGACCCTGAGATGTGGAAGAGGGAAGTGGGGGGCCTGGGCATCCCCATCCCCACCTGTTACATTTAGGGGCCAAGTCTGGGTATGTATGCTCCTTCCCTGTGGGCTGGTTCAGGCCAATAGCACCTACCAAGTATTTGGTGCCCGAGGCTGCAACCAGAGACTAGGGAATGGTCCTTCACTTTAAGTGTGAGGGAAGGAGAGAGGCTAAGAACAAATACAGCCTCTCTCCATTTATCCATGGCAGAAAGGCCTGACACAATCATCCTGGGTAGTGGCAGATGGCTCAGGCCAAGGACAGGTCATACTGGCTTCCAACAGAACGTGTTCTCCTCCCAGTCTCTCTCCCTCTGGGTCAGCTTCATTAGAGCAGAGCTTTCTAGACCTTCTGTCTGGGTGGTCCTTTCCATGGGCCTCTCACTTCCTCAGGCACATTTGACTATTTAGAAAGCTGAATACAAAGGCGTGGTTTATGTACCTCCTTAGGAGTAGGGAGAGCTGTAAAGAAAGTGTATCCCCTGCTATTCTCTGGAAATAGAAACAACTTCTCAACTAGGCCCTGCAGACCCTAGATTCCTGTTGGGACTACAGCTAAACACAACTTCTCTCTCTCCACTGGGTATAGAAGCGGGGTGGTAATAGTAATGCAGTGAAGAACTGGGAGGAAGTTCGACCTTTGGCCTTGGGAAAGAGCTTGGAGGGTAATCTTGGCAGTTTTATAGGCTCATAGGAGCTCATGGCCCTTCACTTCAAGTATGGGAAAAGGTGAGAGGCTAAGAACCAATGCAGCATCTCATCCTTTATTCTTGGCAGAAGGCCCCTGATGCAATCATTCTGTGTAGTGGCAGTCTTCTCAGCTCAAGGAACTCTTGCAGTGGGCAAGGATGAGTTGTTACCAGGGGATGGGATTCCTGGAGTAGCAGCCATCAGGTTGTGTCTGACCTGGCAAGCTCCCAGAATCCTGTTTCTCAGCACATTCCCAGAGTCCTCCCTGACTTGGCATTCAAGGTCCCCTTTCTCCTCTTCCTCCATTTCCCTCATTGAGCATCACTGGGAGAGGCAGGGCAGATCCTATCAACTCTTCTGCCTGCCTGGCTTTTCTGATTTCTGCCCCATGAGAGGTGGCCGGCCAGTGGACATTCAGTTACTATGTTTCAGACATACTCAACCCCTCTGTAGCTGCTACCAAAAGGAAACAAAAACTGTCCCTGCTTTCTGGCAGACAAACAGAGCAAAGAGAAGAAAAATCAAAGCATCTTGGGCACCCAGCCAGTCCTGGAACTGTCAGACAATAGCAGCAGTGTACTGAGCTGGGGGCAGCTCCCAGCTGGGACTCAAACTCAACAAGCCTTCCTCTGGGAAAGCTTTACCTTTTGTTTTCTCCAGCTCCTTCCTTTCCTTGATGCAGAGGCCATTCGATGGACTTGTGCTAAGGGAAGGCACAGGAGAGGTTTTTGCTCTGTCTCACCGTCAGGGGAGGGCTCAGTGGGGAAGGACAGGAAGGAGTGTACAGGAGGGCTCTGAGACAGTTTGATCAGTGTCCTTTCCTTCAACCCACTTTCCCTCCCAAATCTTTTTTGTGATCAAGGAGTGATCTTCGGGCTCCTTGGGAGATCCAGGCCCTAAGGGCCAGAAAGCTCTGGGAATGAGGACAAAACCTGAGAAGCAGAAGGGCCTTTAACACTCAAGCAGTCCAACTTTCTCATTTTGCAGATGGAAACACTCAAGGTCAGAGGGGAGACAGTGATTTGGCTCAAACCAAACAACATTACAGAGGCCAGATTTTCTTCCAGCTAGGCCAGGACTCTGTCTCCAGCACCACCTGGGCCCAATCAATTTAATTTCAGTTCCAAAGGGGACCACGTTGTGCACCACCACAGCTCTTTATCCCTACATCCCCCTCAGCTCTATTTGTTTCAACCACTTCTGCTGGGCCTTTTCAGTTCCTGCCTGATTAGGGAAAACTTTCAGGAGCCTTGTTCTGACCAGTGGGAGGAATGTGGAGCTCCAGGGATCTCAAGAAGGCTGACAGAGGTGGAGATCCCCCAGGGTAGGAATGCTCACAAATCTCTCACAAGCTCTATGACTAAGATAGGCAAGATCACTCAAGTAAACTTGAGAGCCTTGAGATTTTTAAAGCAATGCAGAAACCAGTATTTCAAATAATTCTTTATAATTACTGCCACCCACAGTGAAGACATCAAGAGAAACCTTTGATAATTCTAGGAGGTAAAATCTCACCCCAGGAGCCACTTTCATCTTTCACCAAACACCTGCAGGTTGTAAGAGAAAGGCAGGGAAACAGCAGAGTGAATGTGTGTTTGGGAGCAGGGGTGGTGGAAGGAAGGTGGATAGGCCTCTTGAAGGGCTGTGAAGCAAGAGAATTTCTGAAGCAGGAGAATCTGTAGAATTAGGATCTAAAGGAATATAGCTGGAGGAGAGTCAGAAGGAATTTCAAGCCATGATAGAGATTCCTAGCTCTTCCATCCCAGGTTGGGCAAACCTCACTGAAGTGAGGTGGAGTGGGGTCTGGCTTGGCTCAGACTACTGCCTCAGACCATGGCTCTTCATGTTCTTATCTCCACTAAAATCTGTGGGAATAGGCTTGTTGGCTAGGCAGGGGCTGCCCCTGCTTCTGTTCAGAGTCTCCAAGGGATATTGAACTGGGGAAAGTGGCTACAGGCTGGCAGGAGAGGGAGTGAATGGTGAGCATGGAGGGTGGGGGCTGTGGGTGAGGCAGTGGAAGGGGCTGGGAATCTGTATGGCAGGTATGGGAGCAGAGTCCTGGGCTGATGCTCAGGGGTGACACTGCCAGCAGCTAGGCCTATGGGTCTAGAAAGGCTGATTAGGATAAAGAACTGAAGTACTTCCAGGTCCTTTTAGGTAGGGGATACTTTAAGGACTGGGCTGGGTCAGCCAGTCAGAAAGAAGCCTTCCTAGGAGCTTTACATTGGACAGCTGCTGCCCCCACCTGATAAACCGTGGCCCAAGAGTTAGGCCACTGTGTCTGTCCTGTCCCACATGCTTGCTCCAGATGATCTTTACCACATGACTCATGAACACACACTGTGTACATCTGGAGCCCACCTGACGTGGAGCTTGGGACTGCTCCACAAGTCTCCAGCATGTCTTTGGAAGCCCTTCTTTATTGGGAAATAAATACAGAGGCAAACAGGTGGGCCAGCCAACATCTGTGTTTCTGGAGGCCAAAAGGAAGGAGTCTGTCTGACGTGCTCAGAACTCAGATCTCCATAAGCTGGTCATTCCCCACGATCACTTCATTCACTCGTTCAGCTACAAAAGAAAAGGAAAAAAGTTTTCTGAGAACTGGCAGCAAGATGACATTTCAAACCCAACTGCTCTTTTTTTTTGAGACAGAGTTTCACTCTTGTCACCTAGGCTGGAGTGCAATGGCATGATCTTGGCTCACTGCAACCTCCACCTACTGGATTATAGGCATCCGCCACCACACCTGGCTAGTTTTTGTATTTTTAGTGGAGATGGGGTTTCACCATGTTGGCCAGGCTGGTCTCGAACTCCTGACCTCAAGTGATCTGCCTCCCTTGGCCTCCCAAAATGCTGGGGTTACAGGTGTGAGCCACTGAGCCCAGCCAAGCCCAACTGCTTCTAATTCTGTGTTCACAAGCATTTATTTCTCTCCTATTGTGGCTCTGTTCTTGAGAAGCGCTTGGGAATAGGGGTATATGAGTGAGAGAGAGAGAGAGAGAGAGAGAGAGAGAGCACCTTCCCATGCGGGAGGATGGGACTGACTTTCTATATCCCTGGCTTTGGTGAGGTTTTAAATAGGAGAACTGAAACTGGGTCTTAAAGGATGAATAGTTTCTCCAGGCAGTGATGGAAGGGAAGACATTCCAGGCTGTTAGAACAGCAAGAGCAAAGACAGTGACATGGGAGAAAGGGGAACATGAAATACTGTGGTGTGGACAGAGGATAGCAAATGAGGGGATAAGAGTAAGAAATGAGGCTAGGGGCTGGGCGCGGTGGCTCACGCCTGTAATCCCAGCACTTTGGGAGGCCAAGGCGGGTGGATCACGAGGTCAAGAGATCGAGACCATCCTGGTCAACATGGTGAAACCCCATCTCCACCAAAAATACAAAAAATTAGCTGGGCATGGTGGCGTGTGCCTGTAATCCCAGCTACTCAGGAGGCTGAGGCAGGAGAATTGCCTGAACCCAGGAGGCGGAGGTTGCGGTGAGCCGAGATCGCGCCATTGCACTCCAGCCTGGGTAACAAGAGCGAAACTCCGTCTCAAAAAAAAAAAAAGAAATGAGGCTAAAAGGATAAACGGAGAGTCAAAGAAGAAAGGGCAATACCTCATACATAATATGGAAATAATAACACCTACTGCATAGGTTTGTTGTGAGAATTCAATGAGTTAAAGGTAAGTGAATGCTCAATAAGTTGTGGCTATTATTGTTTCTATAAAGTCCAAACCCATAAGGCCCTCCATGACATGATCTTTGCCTATTTCTCCAGCTTCATTTTCCACTATTCTCCATTTTACCAATAAGCCATACTGTTTTATACCTCTCTTTTTTTTTTGAGACAGGGTCTTGCTTTGTCACCCAGGCTGGAGTGCAGTGGTTCGATCTTGACTCACTGCAACCTCCACCTCCAGGGTTCAAGCAATTCTCCTGCCTTAGCCTCCCTGGTAGCTGGGACTACAGGCATATGATGCCACACTTGGGTGTTTTTTTTCCTTTTTGTATTTTTAGTAGAGATGGGGTTTCACCATGTTGGCCAGGCTGGTCTTGAACTCCTGGGCTCAAGTGATCCACCCAGCTTTGGCCTCCCAAAGTACTGGGATTATAGGTGTGAGCCACCATGCTCAGCTCTGTTTTATACCTTTGAACTTTGGCACATGCTGTTCCCTCTGCCTAGAATGCTTCCCCCTCCATTTATTCCCATTGCACTCTTACTATCCTAATGTCCTAATCTAGCACCTCTAATATGTGATGCCTTCCCTTTTGAACTATTTCCTGCTTTGTGAAACCACTGTACCTAATACCTATCTCTATTCCTACATTATACCATTCTCCTCTACTTCACTATAAGAACATTGAGGGCACAGGACGCGGTGGCTCATGCTTGTAATCCCAGCACTTTGGGAGGCCAAAGGAGGTGGATCATCTGAGGTCAGGAGTTCAAGACCAGCCTGATTGGTGTGGTGGCTGGCTGAGGCACAAGATTGCTGGAACTCAGGAGATGGAGGCTGCAGTGACCTCCTGAGGTCACCGCCACTGCACTCCAGCCTGGGTGACAAAGTGAGACTCTGTCTCAAAAAAAAAAAGGACAATTTTGCTAGATAGAGAGTTTTAAGATAGTGGTTTTTTTTTTTTTTTAAACATTTTAAATATTTCAGTTCCCTCTTTTTTTGCTTATGTGGTTTAAGAGAAGTCTGATGTAATTCTTATCCTTGGTTTTTCACAGATAATGATTTTTTCCTCTTCTGGCTTCTTTTAAGATTTTATTTTTATCTTTGATTTTCTAAAGTTTCAATATAATATGCCTATGTTTAAATTTTTTGTATTTATCTTGTTTGGTGTTCTCTTAGCTTCTTAGATATGTGGATTTTGTTTATCTTCAATTTTGGGGAAATCTCAGTCATAATTTCTTTAAACATTTCTTCTGTTCCTTTTTTTCTCCTCCTCCTGATACTTCATTACACATGTATTGTTTCTATTATAATTGGCCTATACTTATTAAGTATTCTGTTCTTTTTCATTCTTTTTTTCTTTGAAGTTTCAGAAGTTGCTATTTAAACTTCTTTAAGCTCATTGATGCTTTCCTTGATTGTATCAGTCTATTGATGAATTCACGGTTATGGGCTAACCAGTGTTCCTCCAAAATTTATATGTTGAAGTCCCAATCCTTAGTATCTCAGAATGTAACCATATTTGAAGATAAGATTTTTTAAAGGAGTGATAAAGTTAAAATGAGACTTCTAGGGTAGGGCCCTCGTACAATGTGATTGATGTCCTTATTAGAAGAAGAAGAGCCACAAGGAATGCATGTGCACAGAGAAAATGCCATTAAGAGGACACGGCAAGAAGGCAACCAGCTGCAAGCCAAGACAGGCCTCAGGAGAAACCAAATGTGCTGACATCTTGATCTTAGACTTACAACTTCCAGAACTGTGAGAAAATAAATTTTTGTTATTTAAGGTACCCATTCTGTGGTACTTTGTTATGATAACCCTATACCAATGCAAGAATGGCCTATATACATCTATATTGGACAAAATTGACTTTAAGTGAAAAAAACATAAAAAGAGACAAAGAAGGCCATCATATAATGATAAAAGGGCCAATTCAGCAAGACGGTATAACAGTTTGAAATATGTATATATATGTACCCAACAGTGGAATACTCAGACATATTAAAAATGTCATTAGAGCTAAAGAGAGATAGACCTCAACACGGTAATAACTGAGGGCTTCAACACCGCACTTTCTGTATTGGACAGATCATCTAGGTACAAAGTTAACAAATAAACCTCAAACTTAATCTGTACCATAGACCAAATAGACCTAACAGGCATTTACAGAACATTTCATCCAACAGCTGTGGAATACACATTCTTCTCAGCATCACATAGAATATTCTCCAGGATAGACCATATGTTTGAGCACAAAACAAGTTTCAACAAATTTTGAAAAATAAACATTATATCAAGTATATTCTAGACAAAAATGGAATAGAGTTAGAAATGAATAAGAGGAAGAACGTTGGAAACTGTACAAATACATGGAAATTAAACAACATGCTTCTGAACAGCCATTGAGTCAATGAAAAAACTAAGAAGAAAATAACAAACTTTCTTGAAACAAATGCAAATGGAAATACAACATGCCAAAACCTATGGAATACAACAGAAACAGTGCTAAGAGAAAATTTTATAGCAAAAAATGCCTACGGCAAAAACATAGTAAGATTATAAACAACCTACTATGTACCTCAAAGAATGAGAAAAACAAGAAAAAGTGAAATCCAAACTTAGTAGAAGGAAAGAAATAATAAAAATCAGAGCAGAACGAAGGATTTAGAGATTTAAAAATGCAAGGAATCCATGAAACAAAAAGTTGATTTTTAAAAGAGATAAACTTTATAAAAACCACTAGCTAGACTAGGTAAGAACAAAAGAGAGAATGCCAAATAAATAAAATCAGAAATAAAAAAGGAGATATTACAACTGATATAAAAGAAACAAGATGGATCATTAGAGACTGTTATGAACAACTACATGCTGACACACTGGAAAAACTAGGAGAAACTGATAAATTCCTGGACACATATAACCTACCTAGATTAAACCAGGAAAAATAGAAAACCTCAACATCCCAATAATGAGTAACAAGACTGAATCAGCAATAAAAAGCCTCTTAGCCAAGAAAAGCACAGGAACAGGTGGTTTTACTGCTTAATTTTACTAAACTTTTAAAGAACTAACATCCTGTTTTTCCTTTTAGTTGCATTTATTTTAATGCTGAATTTACTTCCATGCCATGTTTTTGTTTCTTCAGTTTCTTCTGGTTTTCTTCTTCTTCTGGGCAACCTCCTCCTCTGGTTTAGGAACAATCTATTCCTTTTCAGTAAGGATCATCTCGATGTGGCAGGGAGAACTCACGTATGGGTTAATCTGACCATGAGCTCTGTAGGACTGGCGGTGCCTCTTGGGTGCTTTGTTACCTTGGATATGCTCAATGACCAGAGAATCCACATCTAAACCCTTAAGTTCAGCATTACTCTCTGCATTTTTAAGCATGTGCAGCAAAAATTCAGCACTCTTTTTGGGCTACCAACCTTGTGTCCAGCCCCACTGCTTGTCCTGGACACACCTGCCAACTCTACCATTGTAACGTCGGAACGGTATGCATTGTTTCTGTAAAGTGACATCTTTCAGATACTTCGTGGCTTTTCATATATGCATATCCTTGATGGCCTGGGAAGTTTCACCTGTGTTCTTAAAGTGAACCCGAAGATTGTAATCTCTTTATTTGAATTATTTTGTGGGGTTCTCCAGGTCAAGTGAATAGTGAACCATTTTCACGGATTACCTCAGGCCGCTTAGGGAAAGAGCAAGAACACCCTTTTTTTCAACTACTTCAAAAAACTGAAGAGATAAGAATTCTTTCTAATTTATTCAATGAGAACAAAGATGCCCAAACCAGACAAGGGCACACAAAAAACAAAAGTACGGGCCGGGCACGGTGGCTCATGCCTGTAATCCCAGCACTTTGGGAGGCAGAGGCGGGTGGATCATGAGGTCAAG